CTGCTTCAAGCACTGCAACCACTGCTTCAAGCACTGCAACCGCTGCTTCAAGCACTGCAACCACTGCTTCAAGCACTGCAACCACTGCTTCAAGCACTGCAACCACTGCTTCAAGCACTGCAACCACTGCTTCAAGCACTGCAACCACTGCTTCAAGCAGCATCTGGCTTCCTATCTCTCCCGCTAGCAGTGCCAAGCTATCACAAGTTACCTCTTGTCACCGTTTGTCACTTTTTGACTATCCCCTTGCTTGCTTCTCTATTACCATTGGCGTTTCATACCATCAGCCACTGCTGCTTGGTTGCGTGCACTAGAGCGGGGACACCCCTCTGCAGCTTGAGCCCCTCTTACCGCATGTGTGGTTCCTCCCTTTCTGGTCTGCAGTCTTTCAGTGGGGCAGCAGCGACTTCTTGAGTGGCCTCTTTGCCCGCAAGCACAGCCTCGCCTTCCCTACAGACTTGTATTCATACACCATCTGCAATACCAAGTCAGTTCTTACGATGATCGTGAAGCCCACGCGCAAGGCGAAAAAGTCTGTCGTAATTAAGAACCCATATTCGTTCTTTAGCACTGTTGGCAAGGACTGTGCTAAGCGTGGGATGAAGTTGTCGTTAGAATAATACAGTATTCGTTAGAGTAGGTTGAGGCTGCATATGGGTAATATAGTATGAGTACCTGAGTAATAGATCTGGGGAAACAACTCTCAAGCTCACACACCACTTCTGTGGGAAACATGCACTACCTTGTCAAATATTGGTACCGTAAAACGAATAAGTACAACAAACCTAGAAAGAGGAAACAAGGGGAGGGGGAAGAAGGGGAGAAGAGGGGGTGCGAAGCATCTCGGACAGGGAGGGAGGGTCTGATATCATGCAGTGCTGCTACCAGCTTGGTTGCTTCTATGTATTCTTCTTGAGGACTTGCCAGCTATTCTGCCTGGCACCTGCTCACTGACCTTCCCGAGAACAGTTCACAAACTGCTTATCTAACCTGTCTGAGAAGCACAGCAACAGCAACCAATCCCTGTCGCTACACAGTACGTCCCTCAACTCTTCTCAGATGTGGAAACTGATTTGGCTTGGCTCAAGTAGAGGAATAGGAAGGTACGGAGTTGCCGCTGGAAGGTTCTGGAGTTTAGTTGGGAGATTCTGACGTGTAGATAGGAGACTCTGGCACGTCGTTGGAAGATTCTGACGCGTTGCTGGAAGAGTCTGAAACGTAGCTAGGAGGAATATCTGACACGTAGTTGGAAGGTCCTGAAGCGTCGCTGAGAGAATCTGAAATGTCGCTTGAAGATTCTGCAACGTTGCTGGAAGATTCTGAAGCGTCGCTTGAAGGTGTTGTGGTGGTTGAAGCTGTGGTGGTGCCGGACGTAGCTGTGGTGTTGCCGGACGTAGCTGTGGTGGTGCCGGACGTAGCTGTGGTGGTGCCGGACGTAGCTGTGGTGGTGCCGGACGTAGCTGTGGTGGTGCCGGACGTAGCTGTGGTGCTGCCGGACGGGGTTGTGGTGGTGCCGGATTTTGCTGCTGGCACGCAGGTGCCACCGACTGAATTGTAGCCCGACTTGCACTTGCACTCCATTCTGGTGCCACTCGTGCGTTTGGCACACTCGGAGTTGGCAGGGCAGCCTGCAGTGACGCACGAGGGTTCTGCAGCAGAGGCAAGGAGAGAGAGGCCAGGTGAGCACATGGGTTCATCCGGACAGGGAATCATTCAGAGAGAGCAGAGCAGGCGAGGTAGGGCGGAGGAGGAGAGAGTTGCAGTAACAAGACCATGCTGAGTGAAACCATGCGAAGCTTACTGGAAGGCTGGCATTTGTTGTTGACCGCGCTGTAGCCATTCTTGCACGCGCACGTCACTGCCGCGCTGTCGTCCGTGGGTGGGGTGCATGCGGCAGGGCCGGCAGAGCAGCGCGCATACTGACAGATGTTGTATGCAGCACAGCGCCGTGCGAAACGGGGGAAAGGGGGGAAGGGGGAAAGGGGGAAAGCAGAGATGAGGCGCGGCAGCCATCCACCCACTCGCGTCGTGCGCTCTGCAGCGCAGCGAACTGGAGCGCGAGGTCAGCGAGAGAGAGAGAGAGAGCGACTTTGTGCGGAGCGGAATGGAGGAGAGGTGGGCGCGGGAGAGGGCAAGAGGGGACGCACCTATGAGGCAGAGGGCGGACCTCGCTGCACCGGAGATACTCTGCTCACTGCACACAGGGGGAGGGCGCCACGAGTTTAACAATCGTTGGTCAGGTGTGGGAGCAAACGAGCGGCATCAAGAGCACACGAGCATGGAAGCAAGGCGAGCAAGAATGGAAGGCGCACCTCCGTTGGCCCTCGGATCCAAGTTCACCCCGCACAAATGGGGTTGTAATGAGGAACGCGTTGGAGTGGCTTGGTTCGTGGAGAAGTGAAGAGGAATGGAATGTTGGCAAAGAAAAGTTTAGCCCATGAACGGTGTTGTACGCGGTGGAATCAGATGTGTAAATTTGAAAAACGCCTTACATATGGGCTCAGTACATCATTACAAGCACTCCATAAAACACACCGGATTGTAAAGGATCACACCACGGCGAGGATTTGCGCCGCCTGGAACTACCACCTCCGTCCAAACGTTGTCCCGGGTGGCATGGGAGGCTAGCAACCATAACGAGGGTTTGGTAGTTTTTTACTGCGGCAGTCCTAACTCATCCGTGTGGCTCCAAAGTTAACCTGTCAAAACGGTGTGCTGCTTTTCAGGATTGCTGTTTGAGTGAAAGGCTACTAAAAACGGGACACCCCTCTTGAAACTGTGATTTCTTTTGCCTAGGTTTGCGTTCCCTGACAAATATCGACCAGCTGGTTTTGGCGACCAGATAGCTTGGAGGTGTCTTGTTTGGCTTCCAAGCTTTAAGCCTTTTTATAGGATCTTTTGATCGTGGCCATGGCGCGAGAAGAAAAAGGCTCTGCCGGTTGCCATCAACAAGAGCGTAGCATCCTTTGCATCAATAACTGCGGATTTTTCGGCAGTCCCACGACCCTTAACATGTGCTCCAAGTGTTATCGAGATCACGTTCTCAAGTCGTCGCAAGCCGAAGAAGCTTCGTCAGCTTTATCAGCACCGTCTAGCAGTTCGACAAAGCCTGCAGGTATGCCATCTACAAGCATATCGCCTCATGCATTCACATGTGTGATTTCCACCGTTGTAGTCATGCAGTATACTGTCGTTGTTATTCACTTTTGAAGATGTCTAATGTGCGTTGTTGAAGGGGTACGTCGCACAGCGTTTGTGAATCTCGTTGCTCACTTATGTCGTATATTTAGAAGACTTTTAGTTTCTGTGGTTTTTTTTCTGATTGTTGGAAACTTTTATCTCTGCAGCTCCATGCGCTGAGAGAGTTTTTTCTCCCTCCTTTCCAGAGGCTATGGAGGCTGGTTCGTCTAGGGTGACCTCGTGTCCTGCGACCAGCGTTTCAGCAAGCGCCGCTGCAGTGGACAACGCAACTGCATCCGCAGCTGCTGCTTCTTCAGCGTGTGCTGCTTCCGCTGCTGTAGCGGCTGCTCTACCGGAATCTCATCCACCTGCTAACCGTTGTCATGTCTGCAAACGCCGAGTCGGGTTGACAGGGTTCAAGTGTCGCTGTGAGGGTTTGTTTTGTTCTCTCCACCGCTACTCAGACAAGCATGATTGCTCCTTTGACTACAAGGCTGCTGGTCGTGAGGCTATTGCGAAGGCCAGCCCAGTAATCAAGGCCGACAAGATAGACCGTATCTGAACATCATGTGTCTCGATTTGGCATGCTGTGGCGTTGCAATCGAATTGAGGTGGTGCCTCGATTCTGGCTGCGTTGGTGAGATGTTCATATGTTCATTGTGGTTGATCTTTGGGTGACTGGATACGTGGCTAGCTTTTCTTGTGCATACGGTTTTGTGTGGAGGGCTATGGCTTAGGCATACGCACTATGTGCTGCTGTGGCTGTGGCTTATGTGTTTGTAATCAATTACCGGTATTAGGTTTAGGTTCTTCATTCAACGTTTGAGAAGGCACATTTGCATAGCCCAGCAAGGACCAGTGATGGCTGTTCTGACAGACCCGATTGATGCACACAAGCCCTGCCATGGGCTGAAGAAAACACACAGAATCTCAACCAAGCCTAGAGCGATCCGAACCGCGATTCCAAGGCAATTCCACAGCACATCCCTGCTGCCTGCCTGCATTCCTCCCTTCCCCTTTTGCCTCAGTTCCACCACATGCATGCCTTGTGTTCTGAAACTGCATCGCAGTTCCCAAGACACTACCGCGCACATGCCAAAAGAGCATTGCAATTCCCCGCCGAAGCACGCGGATGGTGTATGCACTCCCTCGTCCTCGTCCTTTCCCATGGGTTCTGGACTCTCAGCTGTTATTGGATTCACACCCACACCATTTGTAGCTTTCTTCCGGCTTTTTATCGAAGCATCGTTGCCTGCCTTGGGATCAGGCACCTTCTTGACTCATCCTTCCATCGAGAGAAGGAAGCGTGCGTCGGTCCTTCGTAGTTGCTGCGGTTGTGTTCACAGGCCATATCACGCCACGCGTAGATTAGATGCAGACGAATTCCCAGTCACAACAGTAAAGCCTCTGACCCACGCACGCACCTGTCGTAGTGACCACCTTCCGCGGCTTCGTTTACCCAAGATATACCCTCCTGCTGGCTAAGCCATAGATTTAACTGAGAAAGTTTGCGGGATGGACTTTCTCTTGTCAATCCCAGGGCTGGAAATTTCTATGCCAAGCTTTGCAGACCTGCTTCCAGTCGCTGGGCTTACGACTGCGATATCATGTCTAGCATCTGGAACTTTGATACTGAACCATCTTCGCTCTTACACAAAGCCAGATGTATGTATGTAGCTGGATCAGCTTACAGGTTTACCTTTGCCTAAGCAGGCGACTGAACAGCCTAGATCAACAGGCGCAGCTGTCAATTCTGAAGCATGAAACGAGATTTCGAGAGATTACTGATGGAATTGGATTGGGTTGTTGCGTGACTGCAGGAGCAAAAGTGGATAGTAGCATGCGTCTTCATGCCTCCCCTCTACTCCCTCACTGCGGTAATCCTCTCCCGAATCCCTTGCTCCCGAATCCCATGACTTATCTATATGAAACCATTTTACGTGGCAGTCGATTTTTTTATGACTTCTTTGAACTCCCTTCCTGGCACTGCCCCGATTCACTGAGTAACCTGAGTTCGGTTGTGCTTGCTTCTTACGCTGTGGACTCTGCATGCAGTATGTTTCTCTCCATGAACCCCACTGGCGCTTGCTCTTACTCCTGGTCCGGGAGTGCTATGAGTCAGCTGCGATTTATTCCTTCGCCATGTTCCTAATCTCTTGCCTGGGTGAGTGCTTGTTGTGGCTGCATTTTTTTGCTGGTATGATCTTTTACCGCTGTCGTATTGTTTCTGTTTTGCGTTTATGTTTCTGTAGTTCTGATGGTCGCCGATCCTGCTATGTTTCATGTTTGATGTCTATTGATTTGTTAGCGTTGCTTGTCATTGGTATTGCGTTAGCGTTGTCGGTCATTGATATTGCAAAATAACGATGTATTTTGTCTGGTATAAGGAGTGCGTGTACTCCAAGCACCACCCCCGACTATGACTTCTAATTCATGTCTCTCATTCTCCACCCTTCTTCCCATGCCTCCATCCCCTGTCGCTCTTCTGCCACTCTCACCAGGTGGTCAAGAGCGAACCATATGGAAGCTGTCAAGAAGCACCTACCAGCCGTTTCCTCGATCCTCAAACCCCCCTCGCAGTCGTCGCGCACATCCAAATCCACCCAATCAAAACTCCTCGCATACAGCAGTCTCAGCACCCCCTGCAAACCCTCTACCACCGGATCACACCACGCAGAAAGCCATCTTCACTCCGTCAATCTTTTCGGCTTGGCAACAAACCACCTTTTCAGCTTCCTCCAGGTCTGCGGGTCCCACTGTAACCCGCCAGGCAAGACCAAAGCGTTTTTTTCAAGAGTGCATTCTTGAAGAGCCGTTATTGGAAGCTGATGCTGAAGCTGACGAGCCGTCCTCTTTATCCTCGCCTACTACTGACCGTCAGCCTGAATCCTTGACTGGGGAGAGTTTTACTGTGCAGCATTGGTTAAGCGATGCTGAAATCAAGGGCGTGTACAGTCAGGAGGAAGGGCATGATGACGGCAAATGGAGCAGATTTTTGAGAGGAATGGCAGGGAGTGGGCGTTGGGTGAGGAGGAGGGAGGAGGAACACAGGGGGGAAGGAGGACAGCGGTGGGGAGGCGTGGTGGAACAAGGAGCGGAATACGGTGGTGATGTTAGTGGTGGCAGCGGCGGTGGTAGCAGTGGTGCTAGCAGTGGTGGCAGTGGTGGCAGTAGTACAGATAATGTTGCTGGTGGCAGTAGGGGCCGGGGTGGTGCTGATGCTTGGGTTCGTGCCGGTTCCTGTGGTTCAACTGCATCAGCAGCATCAGCAGCAACAACAGGCCCATTTAAAATGCCTGTACCCTCCCATTCTGAAAGGATTTTTTCCAGGCAGAAAACAGACGCTGTTAGTGCCAGACGCCAGAAACCCCTTCCATACCGCACAGCACCACCTTCTCACTCCGCCTCTGAGTCGACGTGGCCAAGAGGAGGGGCAGCTGGCAGAGCAGCGAGGCAGCAACCACCGCAGTACACAGACAGCGAGTCTTGCGCACGCGAGGATGAGGGCTATTGGTCTTCCACTGACGCAGATCTTGAGTCGGGGCAGGGCGAGGGCGTGGGTGCGGGGTGCTGGGAGTCTGTGCGGCAGGAGGGCATTCTGGGAGAGCTGGGGTCGTCAGGATATGGCTGGAGAAGTGGTTCTGCTGCAGGTGGTGATGGAGAAAGGGCAGGAGAAGCAGGAGGGCGAGCAGGAGGGCGGGGAGGAGGAGCAGCAGCAGCAGCAGCAGCAGCAGCAGCAGCACCTGCATCCGCTGCTGTGGCACCACATCCAGCACCAGGAGTGGGAGTGGCAGCAGCGGCAGCAGTGTCATCTGGAGCAGCAGTGTACGTGCACCCTGTGCCGCTGCGATGGTTGCTGCCGGAATGGGTGCACGGGCAGCAGCTGTTTCAGGAGTGCAAGTTCGGCATAGTGCTGTATGTGAGTTGTTGAGTCAGGTGAAGGCTTTCGACGTTTGCAATAGATTTTTCAGAATTCTTGAGTCACTGAGGCAGCTGTTTCGTGTGCTTCCGTTGTGAACCCATGCTCACCCATGTTCAACCCATGTTCACCGTATGATCACCGCATGTTCACCCATGCTCACCCATGCTTACCCATGCTCACCACATGCTCACCCCATGGTCACCCAGATGGTGATCAAGCCAGCATGCGCCCTGCTGCAGGTCGTGTTTGGCCTGTTTGGACTCTACAAGGAGGGGGACTTCAGCCCATACTCGCTGTAAGATAACCACCGTCGCCACCGTGTGCCGTTGCTTATTTATACACACGCATGCACACACGCTTGGATGCACACGTCCGCGCATGCACACACACACGCACGCACACTCGGCACACCAGTTTTGCGCACATCACCTGAAACCGTCTCTGTGCATGAATGGTAGCACCAGACGTAGTATGCATGAAATTCCTGGTACTCGGATGTGGTGCTGTAGGGTGCTGTGGTGTTGACATGGTCACGCACTGAGAGGCTCAGAGAAGAATGCCTATTTGTGGTGATATATAAGAGCAATCTCTACTTATCCTGTAACCCTTTCATGCCTCCTTCCACTCTCTTCCGACCCCGACACACCACCCCATCCTCACATCCTCAGCTACCCATACGCAACGCTGCTAATAAACCTGAGTCAGATGTACGCACTCTACTGCATAGTGGTGTTCTACCACGCCATAGGCCACTACCTCGCGCACATCCGCCCCTTGGGCAAGTTCCTAGCCATCAAGGGCGTCATCTTCGTCACCTACTGGCAGTCTGTCATCATTGCTGCGGCGGTGTTGTTCCTAGGGTTGGGCTCTGGGGGTGCGAGCCCGCTGCATGGCTTGGAGTGGCAGGATGCGGTGCAGGACTGGCTTATCTGCGTGGAGGTGAGAGGGGGGCTGGAATGGGGTTTCACTTCTGAGCCGATTCAAAAGTTACTTCTGGGGATGCGTGCCCGCTGCATGGCCTGGCCTGGAGTGGCAGGACGCGGTACAGGACTGGCCTATTTGCGTGGAGGTGAGTGGGGGCTGGGTGGAGTTTGTGTGTCGTTGCTTTTTTTCTACTTCGTTTGGTTGTTGGTATAGCATATTGTGGTAGCAGGACTGTATCATCTGCATTTAGGTCTATTGAGAGTTGGGGAGGGGGGAACGATCGTGGTATCAATCGTGTAGTGGGTGTGTTTCCCACTGATGGTTTCGCCCCCTGGTTTAGAATCCTCATTGTATTCGTTCATTCAACCCCACTTCCCATCCGCAACAGCACATGCTAATAGCTGCAGCCACTGCGTTTTGTCTCACTTGACCTTCCTTCCCTTCCCTTCCCCACTTCCATTCCCCCATGCTCCATACTATTTCCCTATTCCCCTTTCTCCCCCGTCTGGCCCCTTCTCTCCCCTCTCATTCCCCGCGACTCCCTCAGATGGCAGCAGCAGCCCTGGCCAACCACTGGACCTTCCCAGTCTCGCCCTACCAACGCTCCCGCCTCGCCCCCGCGCGCATGCAGCGCCTGCCAGCTGGCGTCGTGGCAGTGCTCGCTGACATGGCGGACCCGTCCGCCCCGCTGGACCCTGAAGAGATCCTGGCGAGCGAGGTGATTGGCCGAAGCCTGTTCACGGGCAGCACGGCTGCTGCTGGTGCTGCTGTTGTTGATAGTGAAACTGCTGCTGCTACTGTGGCTTCTGGAGGTCTTGGTAATGGTGGTGCTGGCGGGTTTCGAGTAGCGGGAATGGGAGGGGAAGGAGGGGGCTTAGGAAGAGGGAGAATAGGAGATGGGAGGGACAGAAGAGGGGGTGGAATGGGGGCTGGAGGGGATGCTGGTGGGAGAGGAGGCAGTGGAGTAGAAGGGGAATGGAATGCAGGAGGCAGTGGGGGTTTGGCCGGTGCACTAGCTGCAGCGTCACGCGTTGTTGGAGCGCCGTTTCGGAGAGACAGGCGAGAGGATGCGTGGGAATACGCGTCTGACTACTTGGGAAGGAGGGACATGGAGGTTTCTGAGAAGATTCATGATGTCTTTGTCGGCGGTGGCACTGATGTGAGTCACCAAGTCCCTTTGTGTTAGATACTATATACTCCCACCCTCCAATTCGTTCAGTAGCCATCCTCAACCTTCGACTACCCTTCCACTACCCTTCCACTACCCTTCCACAACCCTTCCACAACCCTTCCACTTCCCTTCTTGGCCCTGTGCTTTCCTCCCACGTTATCCCCTCCTTGCTGTGCCGTACCTGCTCCTTCTCCACTTGTTATGCAGACGCAAGTTGATGAAAGCAGCACCACTATGACCCTACCAGCTCCACTGCTTCCCATCCACACGCCCCTAGCCCTACCCTCCTGCAGTATCACTACTTGGCTGTGCAGGATACGCACCCAGCATTGCAGTGTAACATGCAACCCGTCCAATCTCCAACCCCCAATCCGCACCTTCTTTCCACCCTCTTCCTATATCCATGCATGTGTAACTGCATCCTACCCCCTCCATCCTACCCTCCCCTGTCCCAACTCCCCCCCTGTCCCACCACCCATGAACCACCAAATCATGGCGTCTCCCCAGGCCTTTCAGGACATGCAGGCAGCAGTGCAGCGAGGCATGCAGCCAATATCCGCTGCAGTGGAGCCGCTCACAGCAGCCGTACAGCCCTTCTCTGCTGCTGTCACCAGCGCCCACCAGCAGGTCGCCTCCACGTGGCACCAGCTGCAGGCGTCCCTCCCTGCCCTCCCTGCTGCCTTCCTCCCTGCTGTTGCCAACTCTAGAGGGAATGTGAGGGATGGAGGTGCGGGGGAGAGGAGTGGGCGTGTGCAGGGGAGAGGGGTTGGAGGGGGTGGGTGTGGGGCGGATGGCAAGAGGTGGTCGGAAGATGATATAGGGATTGTGTTTCGCGGCAGGGGAGGGGAGGGAGGGGTGGTAGTGGGAAGTGAGGCTCACACGATTGCGGGCAATGGTGGGAGAATGGCGCTTGGTGCAAGGATGATGCGGAATGATGGAGGCTGGGTGAAGGCAAGGCATGGGGGGGACAGGAAGCATGGGCCGACAGGAGGCGGCAGGCATGCAGCGAATAAAATTGTTGTTCTAGATGCGAATTCAACAGTGCTTCGTGTTGGAGGGGGCTGTGATAGGCGTACAGAAAAGCCCGTCCGACGTAGTCGCAGCAACGAAAGTGTTGCGGGGGAGGCCCTGTATTCCTTGTCGTAACACCTTGTTCCCCGCTCGCTTATCCTCCGTTCTCTCGGGTAGTGGAGTGCGTGGTGAGAGAGTTACGGTATTTCTCCATTTCTTTTTTCCTCGATACTGTTGCATGTCAAGCTCATGTCAAGACATACGGTAATATTTGCTTGCCGTACCATACTGTATCACCCAGCGCAGCCATTTACATGCCCATACATATAGTAATGTTTCTGGTTCTGATATGGTTAGAGACTAAAAAACAACAAACATATGCTCACTTTGTGAACAATAGAAAACATGTGCTGGATAGAGCAGTCTCCAAGGTTCCCATCAGAATTGGCGATGGTAAGTTCAGGTTCGAAATTGATGGACACAAAGCGCATTGAAGCTGGTTATGTCAGCCATGGCGGCGAGCTAATTTCAGGATCAGTTGTTGTTTGTATTATCATATTTTCTTTCTTCCACTCAATCTTTGTACAGATGATAAAATTCGTGGTTGTCGCAACACAATCGCGTCAGGCTTTGAGCTTCCGTTTCTGAGATGTCCCCACCCCACGATGGGCTGATGCATCAGCAGAAGTGTCCAACGGTGCAGTGATACACGCCATAACCGATGAAAACTGACCGACTTGACTGGGCTGGACCCAGTCAGTCCAGGCGATAACATCCCTCGCGAGCTTCCTTCTTTCTGTCACGATCGTTGGTTTTGTGAGGTCACATCAGTTTTCTTGAACAACAAATCGTTTCTCTGCACAGCAGAAATCCTTAGAACACATTTGCAAGCCGCCGTATCTCTTCCCCGGTCGATGCTCAAACTGTCATGGCGCGGCGAAACTCGACACTCGTCCCGTACTTTGTCCGTCGCGTGCTGGTCGTCGTCATGCTTCTCGCGTCCGCTGCTAGTACTAGTGCCTACCGTCCGGACGGTCTCCCAATTGTTGCTGGAGTCCAAGCTGCCGCGTACGTAACGGTCACGCCGAGTCAGACGCGCATTAAGCTCCAACCATCGCAACGTGAGCATCATATTGTCTCCGGACGATCCTGTAAGGCTGTGCAGAGGCTACGTATTCCAACGAAAGTACTAGCGTGAGTCGGGGGGAGTAGCCTTCACGAAATAAGTTGTCGGTGAGTTGTGCAAGCGCAGAAAGTCATCCAAGGATTGCAGTCGAAGATGCATCACCGTCTGTGTTCGAATCATGTGACACTTCATCTGTTTGGAAGTTCCTGTTCTGAATATAGATTCTCAGCGTTTTCACCTCAAAACTGGTGTTGTGATAAGTTGTGGGGGGTGGGGGGGGGGGCGGGTTGGGGGGGGTGGGTGGGGGGGGTGGGGGTGTATTAAGAAGCCGCATCAGTTTGCAACGGGAGTCATGATCAAGAGCAATGAAGGAAATGTGTGATTATTGTTGGAAGTAGTACAAAGATACAAACGATTGATTAGTAGAGAATCCTCACTTAGAAAATGTAACTATCATAAAGGCTCGTAGATGCATGCGTACTGAATTCAGATCATCCTTGCTCTCTTGTATCTGTTCTTTCTACCGCGCCCCCAAGTGCAAGCGCTGCTGGCCCTGGACGGAGAATGGGGTCTGTTGAAGCACAATCTATCAAGTGTGATGTGCGATGAGTGGGCGACAGAGGACGCACGTGCGGAGTGTAATCCACAAGGCATGGTTACTTCCCTGTGAGTTATGGCCAGTGGAGAGGAGAGGATGGAAGTGATAATGGGGAGAGGGGGGAAGAGAAGGGCCGAGCATGTGGTGCATGGATAGTAGAAGAGAGGAAATTATGGAAGCGTGTGACAGTGTGCACGTGCGCGCGCACGTTCGCGCTCGTGCGTGCGTGCGTGCGTGCATGCGCCCGTGCGTGCGTGCGTGCGTGCGTGCGTGCGTGCGTGCGTGCGTGCGTGCGTGCGTGCGTGCGTGCGTGCGTGCGTGATTCCTGGTTAGGCAGCCGACCTCTTTGTCATCAGTCAGTTATCCAACTACCAATATTAAATCATTCTCAATTAATGGCGGCCCAGTTCATGTGCTCTCATTTAATGGCGGCCCAGTTCATGTGCTCTCATTTAATGGCATGCACTTCTCTACGTAAATTTGCATGCGTGCCATCACAGTGACCTCATGGGCGCGGCTCTCAATGGAAGTCACCTGTGCAACATAAGTCGCCTCACTGCACTCACAACCCTGTACCTTCTCCTTCTTCTCTCTGAACCTCGCTTCTCTCCTCTTCCACCTCCTTGCTGCCATGCACATCGTTTACTATGTGTGGATTTTTTTTTTTTTTTTTTTTTTCTCGTGCTTTGAGCTTTCTCCACTTCCCAACCGTTGCTGCTCTTTGTTCGCACCGCACCAGTCAGTTTGTTGCATGAGCACCCCTTTCCCCACCTCCTTTTGCCTACCCCTGCACGGCCCCCAACTTGCAGCTCCATAGGTTTGCCTCCGATGGATGCCTCGATGATTGAAGCAGATTACTCCGTACCAACAGAGTGAGAGAGAGACTGATGGAGATGTTGGGGCGCTTGCTGCCTGCCTGGCAGTGCAAGCATGGTGCATGCTGCTGCTGTGCACGATGTGTGACATTGCTATGTTGGTGTTTTCGTAAGCTGCAGCGTGCATGACGCCTGTGATATGCTGGCTGGGTCATCCATGGCATGGCATGATGCTCTTGACAGCCCACATACATACATCCAGCTCTGAACGAGTGTCATGGAACGAGTATCTGGGTCTTTGTGGCCACACTCCTGTTGTGTTGGTTGGAGCAGCACTAGGGCCTGCTTTCCCCTCCGCTCTCAACCTATCCCTCACCTCACCGTTTACCACGAACCACACTCCTAAACCAACGCCCTTTCCCCTTCCACTGCACGTCTCAAATGCGCAGGCCCGCTGAGATGCCTGCTGTTGAGTCGACGCCTCAGCCCAGTCCTGATCCATATGTTGAGGATTACCCAACAGAGTGAGATGCATGGGCTAGGCACGCTGGGGGCTCTTGTTGCCTTTTGGTGCAAGTCATTGTTGTGAGTGTTATGGTGCATGCATGGTGTGTGCAAGATACTTGCCAGCTCATATGACAATGCCAGCCGTGTTGTCAAAGCTCCTCCATTCACATGCCTCAGTGCCTCTCATTCCCCACCTTGCTTAATCCCACGCAAACCGCAGAAAGCTAATCATGCTACTCTATATCCCTACCCCCTGCTGTCTGTCTCCCTCTCTCTCTCTCTCTCTCTCTCTCTCTCTCTCTCTCTCTCTCTCTCTCTCTCTCTCTCTCTCTCTCTCTCGCAGCATGCCCATGAATCACTCATCCATGGGTCCCCCTGTGATGCAAGGCTCCATGGACGACCTCTCGTGTCTCGTCCCGCTCACCCGCCTCCAGACGCTGTACTCTCTCCTCTCCACGTCATCCCTACCATCCTTCCCCTCCCCTCTCGTTCATCCGCTGCCTGCCTTCCCCTCTCGCTCTGCCAGTGCTATTTCCTTGCCAATGCTTGACAGTCAATTCAGCAGCATCACTCATGGAATCAAGACCTCCTGCTAACCGCACAGCACCCATCTAAGCGGCGCAGCTTTTGAGTCGACTCATAAGCCATCTCATTCATGGAAACAACGAGTGTTCCTACCCATTGCTCAATGGAATAAAATCCTCCTACAACCGCGGAACACCCACACACCCAAAAACCCCACTCTCCCACATTCCATTCTACATGTACATGCTTGTGACGATTTAGGGTTTACGCTAAAGCCTGTGCATATTCCTCAAGGCATCACTCACTCGCACTCTCTTTGCTTCTCAGCTCTCAAGTTGAGTGTCAACTCCACCATCGTCTTTCATCCCCCCCCCCCCCCCCCCCCCCGTGCTCTGCTTCTCTGTCTTTCATGCTCGCTTCTCCTCAGCACCCTCGCAAATCTCAACCTGACTGCTGGAGAGCTCCCTTCCTCTCTCTCTGCACTTACTTCACTCACGCATCTGTAAGTCTCTTCATCTTCTTCCCTGCTCCTTGATTGCATGCCTTGTTTTGTTCGGTCCCTTGTTTTATGCATCCGTTTGGTAACCACCAAACCACAATGAAGATATTGCTGCCATATTTGACGTGCGCTATGCTAGAACCTGGGCATGTGCTTGCTTGTTGAACGCAACGCATCTCATATTCGTATCCATTGCGACACGGTCGAGATAAGCAGCAACGCATATCTCTTAGGTACTTTCTTTGGATAAGTACAAACATTCTTTTCTTTTGCGGGCGCATAGGTCCTAATAACGAACCGTCAAGACATCCCCACCGTTGAACCAGTAGGGCTTAGTAGGAGCTTAGGGGTGTGCACGGCCTCACTTCCCCCCTCTCTTCTTCCCTCTGTGGCAGTGACCTAAGTTTCCTTCGCATCACCCGCTTACCGCAATGGATCAGCTCACTCTCCAAACTCGCCTATTTGTGAGTGGAACCCCACCAGCCCCAACTTTTATCACCGTAGGAACTTACGGAAGGGCTGTGTAGACACTTGTCTTCCCGTCCCCTTCCCCCAACTCAGTTACGACTGTGGATGTATGCACTTTGGGCGTTTTTTGCAACTCATTCAATAGAGACAAGTGCACGTCCGTTCTGTGTGATCCGTCTCCCTCATCCCCATGCACTGCACCACCTGTGACACTCTTCAGTCTTGGCACTTGCGCATTCCCTCTCTCTGCTTGCATTGCTCGCTGCTGGAGCTTTGCCAAGCCTTGATAGATCCAGCTCAACCTTGTCCGTGACTGACTGCTTTGTGAGTTGACTTGTGAGTTGACTTACTCAAAAGTCAACTAGGCTTGCTAGAGCCTTCTCAAGCTTGTCCATGATTGATTTGTGCTACCTCCATTCGAGAGCTTTCCTCATGCTTCCCATAGGCTTCCATTATGCTCTCATCATGCTTCCTTCATGCTTCCCTCATACTTCCCTCATGCTTCCTTCATGCTTCCCTCATGCTTCCCTCATGCCTCCCTCATGCCTCCCTCATGCCTCCCTCATGCCTCCCTCATGCCTCCCTCATGCCTCCCTCATGCCTCCCTCATGCTGCGCTCGACACATGAGGCTAAAGCGAAGCACGATGGCTAGAGGGAAGCACGATGGCTAGAGGGAAGCACGATGGCTAGAGGGAAGCACGATGGCTAGAGGGAAGCACGATGGCTAGAGGGAAGCACGATGGCTAGAGGGAAGCACGATGGCTAGAGGGATATATTCAAAGTGTTTGCTTGTGCCCACTTGTTTGTAGTGCTTTCCCTATACCATTCCCCATGCCCCCCTCCACGAACTAAACCTCCCCGTGCCTCTCCCCCAACCCTCCTGCCCTTGACCACCCTGCAGGGACGTCACCGGCAACTTGGACGTCCACCGCACCGCACCGTTCCCCACCGAATGGATGGCGTTCACAGGACTGGTCTCTTTGTGAGCCGTCCAAACCCTGTCAAGTCAAACGCACACCGTTCTGCCTGCGGCTTGACACCTGCCGGCCAGACGAGACGACCAGCCATTCCATTGTTACATCCTCCCATTGCCAATCAACCCACTACCTTGTGTTGGAGTCAGCCTCCAGTCTCATCCTTTGTATTTGTACTTTTTTTCAAACCTAGGTTAGTCTATGTGAAGGCTTTCTGGGTTGGGTGTTACAGCAACATCACAACCCTACCTGAATGCAGTCACTCAGAAACCCCAACCCGCCCATAGGAGATTTCAGCCAGTCTCATAGGGGATTGCCCGCGATTTGCTACCCATCCACACTTTACCCATGCCGGATGTACTTAAGAGCATTGAGCCCAGCCCATTACCTAGTGTATGGATCTCATCTATCTATCTATCCCCAAGTTCATACGCCTTGCCCACCAGCCACCAGTGCGTGCGCCTCTCCTCTTGCCCCTCCCCTCCTCCCTCCAGGCAGGCCGGTCTGAATGGCTTCACTGGCTCTATCCCCTCCACCATCTCCGCCCTTACCAATCTCACTGACCTGTACGCCTCCCGCTCTTCTCTTACCCTTGTCTCTTCCTCCTCCTTCCACAAAGTTCCCATATGAGATGCAGGTCGTGAGCACCAGGTGGTAGAAAAGGGAAGATAAGACAAGTTTATACGCAAAAGCTGGTCGTGCCTTGTTTCTAGTCTAGTCTTTTTGACCGGTTGTTCATCATCTATATGAGCGCGGCAGGAGCAGTGAGATTTCTTTCTAAATGACTGGCCCAGAACGTTTAAAGGCTTACCAGTCATTTTGAGCAGATTGGCATGTTTCAAAACATCCGCCCCATCCTTCTCACCTCCTCTCCCCCTTTACTCTCGCTCCCTTCCTTCACCATCCCACTCAATCCCCAGCGATGTGAGGGACAACCAGCTCAATGCCTCCCTCCCTGACTCCATCTCCCGCCTTGCATCGCTGCAGCACCTGTGAGCTGCAAGCAGCCCTTTATAAAGGGCTGGTACGAGACCCAGGTGCTGTTGTGAAGCAGGGATGGCTTTTAGGGCATGGACGCTTCCTTGGTGCAATATTGGTGCCTTGAGCAGGGGCGTTTTCTTAAAGCAGGGGTGCTTCAATGAATGACAGAATTAGCTGGCGCTGCTGTAAAAAGCTAAAGCGACCTCCCTGAGTCCATCCCTCCCTAACTCCATCTCCCAATTTGCAACGCTGCAGCACCTGTGCACAGCAACAGCTTTCTTGATCAGGAGAGAGGGTGCTGTTGCGAAATAGGGATGCTCTTAGAGCCAGCCAGCCACCGACGCTAGCTAACTTGATGCCTCGAAGCAGGGGGGTGGCGTCTCAAAGCTTCGTGCACACTTTGTGTCAGCCACAGAATGGCAGCACTAACTAGCTAGGGTGGCAGTGGCACTGCTGCGAGGCTGCTGTTGCATTGATCTATGTTGAGCTGCGCGCAACATTCATCGCTGTGAAGAGCTGATGCACCGTGGTACCCGTTGGCATGGTATGGTATGGCATGGCATGGCATGGCATGGCATGGCATGGCATGGCATGGCATGGCATGGCATGGCATGGCATGGCATGGCATGGCATGGCACGGCATGACATGGCACGGCTTGGCTTGGCTTGGCATGGTATGGCATGGCAGGGGCCTTGGAGGCAACAACTTGAGTGGGCCCATGCCTGCGGGCCTGGGTGGACTTACCGATCTGACGTCCCTGTGAGTAGCACAACCTGTCCCCGTCCAACACAAGCCTGAATGACTTTTGAGTCGACTCAAAAGAGTTCACTTTTGAGGCAACTCAAAAGTTGACTTCTGAGCGACTCCGAAGACTTATCGAGCTGACGTCCCTGTGAGCACCACAACCTGTCCCAGTCCATCACAAGCCTATCGAGTGCCCGGCACTGCTCTTACAGCTGCCACCTTTCCTGGTTACCGTACTTATCAAGTGCATCCCAGTTCCCCCTACCTGATCACGTGTTCCACAGTTAGTGCTGAACAACTGTGCTGGGCAAAGTGTGAGTTTGAACACTGGTCATAAAATTTACTGGTACGAAATGCAGACCGTATTAGACTCGTACTCATTAGAACGTATTAGCTGCGAGGGTCCTCCAATCATGCAGTACGACACATCCGTCCTAGAATAATAGGTGGTAGTTCTTGAAACAGAAAACCTGATGGACCTGTAGTGAACGGCCGCACACAAGCTTTGCAATTGTGAGATGTGATATGTGTCCTCCATTCTCCCATCTTTTGCCTTCCCCCCGTCCGCAGGAACATCTCAGGCACACGGCTGACCTGCCCTGCAGATGGCAGTAAGTGTGTGGTGCAGCAGGCCAGCAACTCCAGCTACTGCCACCTCTGCCCCTCCTTCTGCTCCTCCTGCTCGCCCTGTGCATGTAAGACATTCCATGCTGCCTTGACTGCACAGAAGCAAGCATAAGATCGATGCCAAACCGGTTATTCAATGAGCCTGCGAAACAAGTTCTTGCTGACTGGATACGTATGCTTTGCAGAGTATGCTTTACCTCCGTCTTACCTACATCTATATTTGCACCCGTTTTCCAGGGTCGACACTCTCCGAAGTGACTTTTGAGTCGACTCAAAAGTCACCTCGCTTTCCAGGGTCAGCACCCTCCGAAGCACCTCCGTCTAACCTACATCTATATATTTGCACCCACTTTCCAGGGTCAGCACTCTCCAAAGCACCCGCGTCGGCAGCAGCACCAGCGCCAGCAGCAGTGCCAGTCCCAGCACCTAAAACCCCATCGGCATCTGCTCCTTTCACACTCATTTCTGCTGCCATCCTCTCTGGTGCTGCTGCTGTTGCCGCCCTCTCGCTCCTGATGTTTGGAATGTGAAGAATTGAGTATATATAGTTGCAGGCTGATGCATTTTGGTTGAAGGGATGCCTGGGTTTCTCTTCAACTGTTTCGCTTAGTGTTAAAGAAAAGCTGTAGTCAGTATTGGACATGTTTGAAGAGGTGCGGGCTTTGAGACTCTAAGGGTACATTCCGCTGTGGACACTGTCTCAAAGAAAGTGTCCCAGTCGTATTTGTTACTAATTGTGACACAACTAAATCAATGTCAGCTGCATCTGAGCTGAATGTCCGACCGTGAGGCATGACTCTACTGTCAGACAAAACGTGGATGCTTGTTTGGTTTTCAAACGTTTCGTTTACAGGATATGATTTTGCGGACTTGCTCAATTAGTTACGGTAGCTTGAAGGCATGTGCCGTGCACCTGAATAATCCCCCCAGCCAGCTCTTACCTCATTACCACTCCAAGCCCACCTGGCTTACGGTGCCCTCTACTTTCCACTCTCCCCACCTCCCCAGCAGGGTCTTTGCTAGCTTTCCAGGGTCGACACTCTCCGAAGTGACTTTTGAGTCGACTCAAAAGTCACCTCGCTTTCCAGGGTCAGCACCCTCCGAAGCACCTCCGTCTAACCTACATCTATATATTTGCACCCACTTTCCAGGGTCAGCACTCTCCAAAGCACCCGCGTCGGCAGCAGCACCAGCGGCAGCAGCAGTGCCAGTCCCAGCACCTAAAACCCCATCGGCATCTGCTCCTTTCACACTCATTTCTGCTGCCATCCTCTCTGGTGCTGCTGCTGTTGCCGCCCTCTCGCTCCTGATGTTTGGAATGTGAAGAATTGAGTATATATAGTTGCAGGCTGATGCATTTTGGTTGAAGGGATGCCTGGGTTTCTCTTCAACTGTTTCGCTTAGTGTTAAAGAAAAGCTGTAGTCAGTATTGGACATGTTTGAAGAGGTGCGGGCTTTGAGACTCTAAGGGTACATTCCGCTGTGGACACTGTCTCAAAGAAAGTGTCCCAATCGTATTTGTTACTAATTGTGACACAACTAAATCAATGCCAGCTGCATCTGAGCTGAATGTCCGACCGTGAGGCATGACTCTGCTGTCAGACAAAACGTGGATGCTTGTTTGGATTTCAAACGTTTCGTTTACAGGATATGATTTTGCGGACTTGCTCAATTAGTTACGGTAGCTTGAAGGCATGTGCCGTGCACCTGAATAATCCCCCCACCCCAGCCAGCTCTTACCTCATTACCACTCCAAGCCCACCTGGCTTACGGTGCCCTCTACTTTCCACTCTCCCCACCTCCCCAGCAGGGTCTTTGCTAGCTTTCAAGACCGTATGTCCTTGTCTGGCGTTTATATACATACATATATTTTTTCAATCCCTGCTTGATTCATCAAAACGGAATTTCAGGCAAACAAAAGAAGTCCTAACAACTACAGCACGTTTTCCTACCACACTACAAGAGTATGGCAAAATGAGGTACCGTAAAAGTGAAGCAGAATAATACCGCACTTAGCAGAACAAGAGGCAAGGGTCAAGGAGGCGAAGCACTTAGCTAAGAAGTTGGAGAAGCGGTGATGCAAGCACAAGGGGTGCATGGCGGTTGTGAGCCCCACCCATCTCTCCTCTCCCTAGAAGGCACACACGCAGAGGTGGCCAGTGGGAGACGAGGGGGTGAGAGAAGGCGCCTCCGTCCCTGGTGCCAGGTGAGGCGAAGTACAAGGCAAGTGGGGGAAGGTGGCCACTGGTGGAGGCGCAACCAGACGCTACACATCCCCCAGGAGACCTGAAGGGGCTGTAGGCTCTAGGGGACTGACCCTAACCTAAAGTGTTTACCCTGAATAAGAGGGGGGGGGGGGGAGGGGGGGGAGGAGGGGGGGGGGGGGAGGATGTGGACAAGATGGCCGAATGAGGTACAAGTTAAGGAGAACGAGAAGTCATTAGAACAGGGTGGAAGATATTATGGTGCTCCTCAAGAGTCACTGCTTGCTGCTGGAAAAACGAAACACCCACTTCCCACTGAGTATTTCTCTTCCCTTTGCTGCTGAGTGTGGTACCAGTTCCCATGTGCCGTGGCGCTTGAGTGCTTCCACTTCGGTGACCATGGCTGCCCTCCATTTTTCCATTTTCGTAGGCTCAGTGGGATGCTGGGTGTTGCGAACTGCTAGGCGTGCCCGAGAATCCGTAATCCGGTTATGCCGAAGGTGGCGTGAGCTTCGTCGCTAGTAACTTCCACGAGATTGTCATCTTCGTGATCACCTGGATATGCATGGATGCTCTCGTGAGTTGTGTTGTTTGGGGTCTTCTTCCATTGGTTAGCGATTTTCTGCCCTTTCGTAGTTACGTTGAGCTTGAACTGCATCGTTTGGATTGTTGTCAGTTGGAATGAAGGTCGGGGTGTTGAAGATGCTTGTAACGGGAATGATGGGTGGCTCGCCTTCGATTTGATCTTTTGTCAGCTTTGTATTGGTCTGTTGCGAAACTGTGCTCCGCTTGGAAAATGTTGTTCGGTGCTTGCTGTGCAGTGCTGTGCTGGCGCAACAGTGGCAGCGTCAGCCTTTCGTAGAAGTTGCAATCACGTCATCGGGTGAGTTGGTGGGTGGCAAAGTCAAGGATGGTCCATGCCTGGTATTCTGGCTCGATTCCGAGGTGAATGCCCCAACATGCCCGATCTTCAAAAAATTTCCGGTCCTTGCAGTGTGCCATGCACCCAAAAACCCGCCGCCGCACCATTTTGTTTAGCCATAGACGGAAGCAGTCGAAGGCGTGGGAATGACTTTCGACGTTAGCTGTTCAGACAAAACGCATGCTGGTCTCAATGAAGGTGATCGTGTAGTACTCCCCTATAATCCATTTAGCGGTAAGGCACAGGAAGTCGCTGTAAACTTTGTCCATCTTCTCGAAGCGTTCTGGACCGGGGATTTTCTCGAAGAACGGAGAGTGGATTAAAGCTCGCGTCTCATATTTCTGCCATCCAACCAAGTGTTAAACGGTTGGAATCCGGTAACAGCAGAGTTTGTCGCGAAGCACACCAAAGCAAGGGGTGGTTGGGAAAGTTGGCTGTCGCACACTTCCCCGTGCACACCAAGTGTTTACAACTCCCAAAAATATGAGACTCTGAACTGAACGTTGACAGAACCCAG